TCTGGCTCATGCTCTTTAAAAATAAATCTTAAAAAACAAAACAAACAAACAAAAACACACAGAGGGCCACCTGAGTGGCACAAGTTGTTTAAGTGTCCTGATTTTTGGTTTTGGCTTCAGGTCATGATCTCAGAGTCTGGGAGTTTAAGCCCTGTGCCAGGCTCTGCACTGATGGTGCTTGGGATCCTCTCTTCCTTTTTCTGTCTGTCTCTCCTGAGTGCACTCTCACACACTCTCTATTCTCTCAAAAATAAATTAAAAAGAGAGAGAAAGAAAAAAGAAACTAATAGATTACACAAACTACTTAAAGGAAGGGAGGGAAGATTTGTGCTTCTGGTAAATAGTCTGGGAGTGAATCACCAATCAGTACATAGATCAAAGGTCAGAAAACTAGAACTGAAAAGAACTAGAGGATAAATATTTTAGGCTAAATATTTTAGGCTTTGTGGGTCATCTATCTCTATTTGGCTGTGCTGTAGTATGCAGGCAGGCATAAAATAATCCATAAATGAGTGAACATGGCTATGTTAAAATCAAATTTTACTTACAAAAACAGGTGGCAGGCTATATTTACCCTGTGGAGTAGTAGTTTACCAATCCCTGACATAGATAATTAAGTGAAAAAAGAAATAATCATGAAAACAGAGGAAAACAAAAAGATACAGAGGAAATGGAATATAATCCTAATATACTATATGGCTTGGCTATAAATAGTATTTATATAACCATAGTAAATATTTTTTATGAACGCTTATAATCTTATTGGCAAGATAAGAAAGAAACAAAGGGAAAAGAACACATACAAGTATATCAATGTCCAAGTGGTTGGGATGGAGGAAGAGTATAAAGTAACTAAACCATCAATACAAAGTCAATAGATTAATCCTGAATAACTGAAAACTCAAGAGTAAGCATGTTACTTGCTTTAAAATGTATAACAGGTAAATTAAAAGAAAGTTAAAAGGATTAAAAGGGAATGCGTATAAGGAGCACATCTAGGAGTTGGGGCTCAGGATCACAACTTTTCATCATTTTAGATCTTAGTAATCTGCTTGACTTCTTAAAACTGTATTATGTATTTGGTGAGCATTGCTAATTACCAACCTGTATTTCCCCTTCTTCTAATTGCCTACCAAATGTCTATTCTCTCTTTCTTCTTCTAATCAGAAACCTTATTTTGTTCAGAGTAGCAATGCTTCCACATAAAAATATGTTTCTCTCAGGATAGACAGTGATATGTCAGCTAAAGTCTCTAAGAAGGAAACTATTTTCTGATTCAAGGGTCACCCCGTCTAAATTCTTCCCTTCCTCTTCCTGCCTGAATTCACTGTGAGTGAAATCCAAAGCAACAACACCCACTGGGACCATGTGGATGAAAGCCAAAGACTAAAGACGACATGGAAGAAAAGTCCAGGAAACCTGAGTCCTTGAAGACATTACTGAACCAATGCACTAGTATTGAAATATATACCCCCAGATTCCTTGCAATTGAGAAAAATCAATTCCTACATAAGGCAAGTGGTTAAGTCTTCTGTCTTTTGCAACTGAATTCATTCCTAACCTGTACAATTAATTTTCTTGTTTATGTTCATTTTCAAAGAGAAAAAAATAAAAGAGCCTTGATTTGTCCAGGTTTATCTACTCATCCATTCTAATAAAACTAAAAAGAGAAGTTTAAAAGAACATTAAAAAAAGATGTGCACATAAGACAGAAAAGATGGCATCTCAGCAATGATACAACATAACCAAATGTTTACTTCATATCCTCACATCTTTCAGGGAAAACTAAAATATTTCCTTTTCCCTTCTCTCACATTCCATCTTACCACTGTTTTATCTCTCTTGAAGCCTCACTAATTTAACAACTGCTTGGGACCAAATCTTCTAACAGGCTGTGTCTCAAACCATTTAAATCACAGAGAACTGTAGCAACCTAAAGCTTTTAACTGCACAGGAAAAGATGGTATCTTAAAAGTCTTCTGTGCCTCTACCTACTCTACAAATTAGTGTCATAAATTTGCTTAATTCAAAGTTCAAGAAAATTACAAATACTCTAAGACTAAACAGGTCTTATATAGAAAAGCACAAATTTAAATTACTTTAAAGCAAAATGAGAAGTTTGGGAATGAAAAGAGCTAACTCAATCCAAAACATAACTACAGATCACTATCTTTTACAAGTATTAATATTACTTAACAGAGTACTGTGAATATATTTGCACTAGTACAGTACTAAAATAAGCACTGTTCATTGCTTAAGCCTCTGCTTTCATCCTACATTTTTTCTATCATCCCGAATAAAAATTTAGGCCACTATACTGAAACCACAACCTATTCTCACTTCAAGAAAATTCTTAAAATGTGTAAAAGAAAGGGTGAAGTGGTTAGAGAAAATCACATACTTACAGTACTTTGCCAAAATTAACCTCATTCATCTGTCTGTAAGATAGCTTGTTTTACTCCACATTCTCTGTAAAGCTATAAAAATTAACAAACCTAAGAAATGTTAAGTAAGAGTTTAAATAAGATAGCTTACCTTTTATTTATAGGTTTTTCATCTTTTTCATAAGGCTTTACAAACCACTTGCCAATGCGTACAAAGTTCCGGTTCATTAAACACCGTTCCAACAGATTGTGAACTGCTTTAAAAAGCAGAGTACGACATTCATAGGAAAGTCCATTCTCCCACACTCCATCTTCCTCTTCTACAAGAGAAATGAAAGAAACAAAAACTATATCTACTCAGAGCCAAGCAAAAAGTGTTACAATTTAAACTCTCAATTCGTAAACCCCCTACCACTTAGTACATTAAACCTTCTGCACCTCAGAATATTGAGCTACCATCACTTCAATATATCTCTACACATTAAGATATCAGGTTTCAAAGTTACTCCATATGGAATAAAATGCCTAAGTGCCATATATTCTACTAAAGTACCTGAAAATTATTTTCCCACTGCATAAAAAAGCAATGATGTAATGCAAACATACTGATTTGATTTCTGTATCCATGAAAAGACCATTTGTATAAGCTGGGATTTATTAAAGACACTCTATACCTGAAGTGCCAATTTCTAAGCTGGCTTACTTGTTAGTTACCTTGTCCTAATTCCTCTATTCATTCAGCTTGCCAAAAAAATTAGCTAGTTAATAATTAACCCAAAACATTTTATGTCCATCAGCATTCTAATCCACGACTCAACTATAAAAATAAGTGATGAATAAAAAGGAAGCTTTTGGCACACAGCCTAACAAGCAACGTATTATTAGCCACCTTAGGTCTCGTTTCAAACAAACGATTCCCATGATTACTATTCAGTATAGGATCCTCTACTGGGGGAAGAAATTTTAAAATATAAAAACCAAAATTTTAAATAGCACTTATGATATAGTTGTAACTACCCTCACTATTCATTAGTAAGCAGCAATTTTGCCAGCTCACCTATTAACCACTCCAAGTTAACTTATCAAAAAAATATTAACATAGTTATTTCGAGAGAAGTCCAGATGTAGTTTAACAAAAATGTATTACTCTATCCCTTTCATACCTTTAACAAAGCATCAAAAGAATACTGCTACAAACTGTACTTGAGCTTTTTAACTTATTTTGTTTCAAATATAATTTAGTATCATTTCATAGCCTATGTCTTTGTAAACAATATACATATGAATCTTTCAATGTAAGTAAAAAAATACATAAAACCTTTCTTAATTCAACACTAAAAATGTCTACACTACACTCATAGAAAAATAATAAACTATGATGCTTTTGAATAAAAGCAGAAGCATGTGTTTAGAGGGACACATGGTTTACATTCATAACCTACACAACAAATGGGAGAATGAACATTAACTAAAAAGCATATAATGACAGTGGACTTCAACTGCACTAGAAATTTGTGCCACTACAAAGTTAATGTTCTTTAAAGTGTTTTTAAAGTGTTTTAAATTAGTCAAGTCTTTCAAGTCAATTAATTATTTTTCCAAAAAGGTAAGCTTTAAAAAAAATGAGGTAAGCTATAGAAAATGACAATACTTGAGAACTGGAATAATTTTAAATCATTAATATTAAGCGTTAATATTAAAGATAAAAGGCTTTCACATTCTATTATATTATAGACAACCATATATAGATATATCTATATAGATCTATCTATCTCTCTCTATATATATGTATCCATTTAAAGCCAAAACTTCATGAGTTTCGCTTTATTAAAGAAAACAGTAAGCTAGGAGAAAAGAGAAGTGGCACACATGGACTTCAATTTAATTATTTAAGGGTCTAGATCACAAGTATATTTGTGAGTCGCTGAGAGAAAAAAATCTTAATGTGCTTTCAGGCTAATCAGATTCTATCACTTCAAAATTAAAGTCACATTAAAAGTTTTACCTCAAATTATGATTTATAATTACTTAAAATATGCATGTTTTTAATTCCAAGAAAGTTATCCTAGGAATATCTTCCAGTTCTTAACTTCTTTGTAATCTATTTAGTGTATTTTTATTGCCATTTACCTCAAAAATCCTTACCTTCTGAGAAGCACAATGGTTATAACATCTGTTCTATACAAGAAATCTTTACCAAAACTTTTTTAACTAGTTCTAAGTTCAAAAGCTACAAAAACCTAAGACACAGAATTACCATTACATATTAAAGTTGTACAGTTACTATAAACTTCAAATATCGGAAAATTATTCACTTAAAACTTGAGAATGAATTTGCCTTCTTCCCAAAAAGAGTAAAAAAAAAAGTGTTTGGAATAGTAAAAGCCTATAATACAATAATTTATATACATTTTTCTTCTTTTCTTAGAGACACAGAGCAGGAGAGAGGGACAGCGGGAAAGAGAGACCATCCTAAGCAGGCTCCACACTCAATGCAGAGCCTGATGCAGGGCTTAATCCCAGGACACTGGGATTATGACCTCAGCTGAAATCAAGAGTTGGACACTCAACTGACTGAGCCACCCAGGCACCCCTACATACATTTTTTTTTTTAACATAAAATCCAGTTATACCTGAATTTAAATGATTTAAGAATACTAAATACAGTTTAGGAAATTAATCAGCATTAATTTTCAAGCATTTCTCTCTCATTGCTTTAGGTTTTATCTAGGGAAACTCAGGTGAACTTAATGCTTTTATCTCGAGAAACTCAAGTGAACTTATCCTCATTTTACATCATACCCTCAAACTCCCACAATTTTCATTAACACTAAATGGGATTTAGGCATAAAACCACCACCTGTTAGGGTTTTCTAAGCCAACAAACATCTTAAGTACATCCTCACCTATACATCAAGTAACTAAGCAACTATTACACTAGAGTAACATAATTTCATTTTTCACTGCTGAGGAAATAAGTCCTAATAACTAACACTCAGTGAAAAGCCTAAAGATTTTTTTTGGTGTTTTTTTGGGGGGGGGGGGGGGGGGGGAATCACTTAAAAATAAGAGACTACTGAGCAAAGCTTCTAATATCTTGATGTTATAATAACCATAGCAAAAATACTTCTCTACATGTTGTATTCAGATATGAAAAGTGAAATGGTACAACCAACCCACCCAAGACAATGATATGTACCTCTTACACTAATTAAAACAAGTCCTTGAATTGCAACACAAGTACTACAATAGAGAAGGGAGGTAGAGGGGAACACATGGCAAATCTTTACCTAGCTCTTTTGAATTTAATCAACCATAGCCTAATGGAAAAAGTCTGCTTAATGCACTTAAATGTTTTTTCTCCTCTTGTATCTGTATCCCCAGAGAAAACAGGTTCAATTTTGTTTATAGTACTTTTCCATCAGAACTCTTAGCATTAGAATTCTTCATCATCGTTACTTGAAAAATTTTTACAAAGTATCTATTTGAAAAAAACAATACAAAAGTTCACATGCTAAATTTGATAACCATAAAATATTTTTTTCCTGAGGATACAAGACTACAGCGATGATGATAAACTATGTGATAGGTCATTAAAATAATTCTGAGTGGTGGGGCGCCTGGCTGGCTCAGTCGGTAGACATATGACTCTTGATCTGGGGGGTTGTGAATTCAAGCCCCTCATTGGATATAGACATTACTTAAAAATAAAATCTTTAAAAATAATAATTCTGAGTGGAGGAAAAAATGAAAAGAACAAATGACCTGACACACCTAATACCTAATATTCAACATTTTTCTCAAAACTGACATCTTTAAACATTTCAACAATAGACCAGTAAAAAAGGAATCTTTTCCTAAATAATTTTGACAAACTATTAAAACACAACATACACTAATGAATAATGAATGGGTCAAAATGATGGCAGAAAATACTACCTGAAAAAAAAATATCCTGAAAGAGTAAAGAGAAATGTTTTTATTTTTATTATTTTTTTTAATGTTTATTTTTGACAGAGAGAGAGAGAGAGAGAGAGCGAGCATGAGCGAGGGAGGGGCAGAGAGAGAGGTAGATACAGAATCCAAAGCAGGCTCCAGGCTCTGAGCTGTCAGCACAGAGCCCGACGCGGGGCTCGAACTCACAGACCACGAGATCATGACCAGAGCCGAAGTCGGACACTCAACCGACTGAGCCAACCAGGCGCCCCAAAAAGAAATGTTTAAACGTCTAATTCAGCGTTTGTCTTGAATAATATAATTGCCCATTCACAGTCATTCACTCAACAAATATCACTGAGAGCCTTAAGCTGACAGCATCATTGATCTTTGGCAAAACCTGAAAAGCTCTGGTTTAAATACCCTAATATATGTTGACGATTATCTTTGATATGAAGGTTTAAAAAAATATAGTTTCTTGCTCAAAATGGACAGTACACAGAATAAACAGGACAAACAAAATTGTCCTAAAAGACAAGTGAATAAAAAAGTTGGGTCACAAGTAAATTATGGAAGAAGACAAAAACGAATTAACTCCCTTCAGGGTAGCTAGAGAACAAAAGTTTTTAGTTTGGCTGCACTAGTTTCCTATACTTCACTGCTGTTTATCTATTTGTTAATCCTGTTAAAGCTGCTACTCAAGGTTAAATTCCATTATAATTAATATCCTTCAATAAAAGAATCTAAAATTCTAAGACTAACGAATGGCCCATTTAGTTTGACAGTAGTATGATGAAATTCTTGTATAATGAAAAGTATTTGGACACGTAGCTAAAATTCCATATATACACCACAGGAGCCAGAAAAAATAACAAGTATTTTTAGCCCTGACTTTGTTTTTTTAGTTCTCAAGGTATCAAGTTTTCTCAAAGTCTCATCACATTCTAGCTTACTATAATTTTTTTTTAAAAGATGTAAACCTTCAGGAGAGGTTTTGTTTTTATTCTTATTTAAGGGACAGACTAAAAGCCAATAATGACAGCAATAAAATTCCAAAAAAGTGAAGGCATAAAACAAAAATACCCAGAAAAAATTCTTCTCCTTCAAGGACACACTAATGGTAATAAAACAATCTTGCTTTGATGCAAACTAATAGCACACTTAAAAGAACAAATCAGTCCTGCCCACTATAGATAGGACTTGTGACCAGAGAAATTAAGCTAAAATTTTCCCAGCACCAGTTTTATATTTCTATCACACAACCACTAAATGAGGTCTGCTACAAATGTTAAAGCAAAAAAAAAAAAAAAAAAAGAAAAAAAAGAAATTTAAGGCTGTAATCAAGAGAGGAATTTTGTTCCCTAATCCTTCTTCTATCAAAACATACTGATATTGGGGCCCCTGGGTGGCTCAATCGGTTGAAGGTCTGACTTCAGCTCGGGTCATGGTCTTGCAGTCTGTGAGTTTGAGCCCCGCATCAGGCTCTGTGCTGACAGCCTGGAGCCTGCAGCCTGCTTCTGATTCTGTGTCTCCCTCTCTCTCTGCCCTTCCCCCACTCATTCTCTGTCTCTCTCTGTCAAAAATAAACATTTAAAAAAAAAAACACATACTGATATTGATTCAACTACCCAATCTCAGAGGAAAGAGCAAAAAGTTAAAAACAAAATTAAAAAAAAATAGTAGTAAGTAGAAGTTTTTGGCTTTAGGATTCAAAGAATATTCTGAACGAATGTCTTCCTGGAATGTTAGTTAGGACAATACTAGTTAGCACAAACCCTAACCCAAAAATCATTAGGTCTTTGGAAATTACTAAACAGTATTGACTAACGCTACAAAACAAATAACTGAGGGTTTGAAGTATCAAAATAGATTTGGTTTGCTGTGACAGATTTTTACCAATTAGCAACATGACAGATTTCTACCAATTAGCTATAAGGTGAGTTTACATTCTATTTCTATACCTCATCTACACTTGAAAAGAAAGGAACCCAAACATAGGCTACACAGACAAAATTTAAAATGCACTATAGAACCTGATCAGACTCTTCAGAACTATCAAGATTATCAAAACAAGAAAAGTCTGAGAAAATATCAGTCTAGAACAGCCTAAGGAAATGGGACAACTAAATGCAGTATCCTGGATGAGGCAGAGGGTAGAAAAAGAATTTCAAGTAAAAATAAAGGAAACCCAAATAACGTATAGACTTTTGTTAATACCACTGTATCACTATCAGTTCATTAGTTGTGAAAAATGTTAACAATACATAAGATACTCAAAATAAAAGCTAGGTGATAATTATATAGGAACTTTCTATACTATCTTTGCAAATTTTATGTAAAACTTTTAAAATTAAGAGTTTATCTTTAAAAATACACTAAGGATGACACGAAGAAAGGGGTTAAGCAAAGGCAATTCTGTACTTTTATAACTAAATATTTCAGTTAATAAGAAAAACAGAATTTTACTCTTTGCAAAATAGAATGCTTTCTCTCCTTTCCCCACCAAGAAGGGAAATATCACCATAATCACAAACATTTCAGTAACAAGATGTCATAGGTGCTGAACCAAACAGAAGGGCACTGCCTGTGCCTGCAAAAAGCAAGCTCAAACTAAATTAACCAGCTTTTTAGTTACCACCTGGGTCCTTCCGGTTCCCCTTTCCTCAGTGCTACACCTCCACTTGGAACTCAGGATTGCCTCCTGCAGCTGATGCCACCCCTACTGTCCAGCTGCTCTCTTCTCAGGGGAGCTTAAAAGAAGGGAATAGAGTGCCACAGATGGGAAGAAATGAAAAAGGGGTTAGCTAGACAGACAGAGGCAGACTAATTATCCCAAAAGGGAGGCAGACGGTGTCCCTGGAGCAAAGAAAAGGGCTAGACAAATATACTCCATCTGAAAAGACCTTATTATTCTTTAAGATATGTCTGATTTAAGTAACAACATTCTAAAGTAAATGACAAGGGGGGTGGGGGAGAAAGCTAAAACATTACATAAATACCAATGACTATACACACTACAGAACAGGCTTTGGAACGGTAATTACGATTATACATACTACTCCTAATATATTTTGCTTTACTATTTCAATTGCTTTCACTTTGACAAAATTTTTAAAGTTAATTCCCATTCAGTGGCATTCAGCAAAATCTAACAACAATTAAAACCTAATATGCCAAAATTATATTCATTTACATTCAAGATCAATATTTTAAAATACAGGTACTACCATTTTTTTTAGTTATGCAAAAAAGCAAAATTAAACTACAGAAGCAGTTTTTTAAACTGTAGCCCAGTTTTAGGAGAAAACATTTAGCATAACATGAAACTTAGGGGAGAAAAAAAATCCACACAGTATTTTCATTTAACTTTAATAGGCTTTACTTCTAAAACATTAGTCCTACTATGGTAAAACTGAATACCTCACACCTGTTAAAATTCTTTGATTTCACAAAATGTATTACATGGAATCTGGGGGGAAATGGTCTGTTCATATGCTCTGCCAATTTTATTAACACTAAAATCCCCAAGTCAGCATTATAGTTTATCAACAACTAGTTTTTATCTATAGTTTATAAACATCATTAAAATAGTTCCCAAAATTTTTGTAAGGTGGTTTTTATGACCACTTAAAATAAAGATTAAAATAACTCCAGCATACCAAAGTCAATGGAAGAAAAAGGAAGCTGGCAAGCTTACCTTTTGACATGACAATTAAAAAGCAGCAGCATCTTGCTGATGCCAGGAAGAAATTTCATATCTCATATATATGTATATATCATATATTTGTGCATGTACATATATATAAACACATCACTTTACATATTTAGAACTACACTGCATACTTAGAACTAAGAAATAATCTCTCCAGCAGGGATCTTATTAGGAAAGCTGGAAAAGCCGGAAAGCATTTATCATAAAAGAACTGCAATCACTCTCAAAATAAGGATTAGCACTGAAGGGTTTGTTCATTAGAAGGTAAAGGCGACTTTCAAAACAAATATAACACATACATTCCTACAGAAAAGTTAGTCTTACTAAGGGCTTATTTGAGACAGCCACCTGGATTACATTACATCCAAAAATAAAATAGGTCTTACAGGTCAAATGGACACTAATAGAAACTTCAGAGTACTCAATTTCAAATAAGAATGCTTTTTTTAGTTATCTAAAAATCCTAAATTTACCTGTCAAGAATCATTACCAAACATCTTGCTGAAGTGGTTGGTACCTTACATGCAAATAACTAATCATTTACATTCCTATCATCAAAGATTCAGTTAACATTGATTCTTACAGTCAAAGTAAGCAAAAGCATCAGTGATTACTATAAGAGAGCTAGAGTTTCTTTTTCTAAAGTAACATTTAGTTCTAAAAGTCACAAAAATAAGACAGAAGTAACCTTATTGATACATTTATAATAAAATTATTTCTGTGTAACTTTTTTGATTATGACCCCATGTTCTATATAAGCGAAATAAGTTGGCACTAGTCTCATCTTAATGATAGTCTTTGATGAAACAGTATCTAAAATAAAAGAATCACTTTCCAAAAATAACACAATTAACATATGCTTTCATTCGTTAATATAACAATAACTAAATATGTATCTGAAAAAACACGAGAAAGTTACAACATTTCTAGATACCCCTCTAACTATCTGCATATTCATACAGTAGACAGCAATGGCAAAATTGACTCAAATAGTTACATATGCCTACAAATTACTGTCAGGAACTTTATGCTCCCCCATTCCATTTTTCTTAGGTAATGTAACATGTCTTCCCTGTGCCCTGTCTGTAAGAAGTTCACAAGGAAGCTGGGTGGTGAAAGAACAGTTATTCAAGGCTAAAGCCTACCACAGTATGGATAATTTAAGTAAAATAAAATAACCAGAGTGAAATAAGCTAAATTTTCATCTGGCTTCATACCTAACAGTGTTTCACACACAAAAACATCTCAATTTGTAATATAAATGATTTTTAGGAAAAGTATACAATGTTGCTGTATCATTACTTAGAAATGATAAGTTGCTTTCACCTGACAAGTCATGGTGAATAAGGTCAGCAAAATTGGGGTCTTCACCCCACCAAAATATCCACAATTCTCTTCTTCCAGGTCTCTGATCTCGCCGCCAAACACCGAGTACATCTGCCTTAAGGCAGCGACTAAAACTGCTCAAAATGGGGTCTTCCTCTGTCACCGGAAACAGAATAGGGGCAGAAGTTGGGCCTTGCCATACATATCTTTTCCATTTAATTCCCGTCAAGTCAGCCTAAAGAAAAGAAAGCGTGATTATTGCACATTCACTCAAAGTCAAAAGCACTCACTTTTAAAGTCCCTTTAAGACATTATAATTTTTCAATATATACTTAAGATATTAAAGCAGATTGACTGAAAAAAAAATGTTTGATAAGTGAACCAAAAATTTAAGGACCAGAAACAGTTAAAAAATTAACACTGACATATCACTGAATAGCAACAAATACTGTGTCCCAAAGAGAAATAAAAGAAATGTAATAATGTTAAATACAAACATGTACTTTAATACTGCACACTTAGTAAACATTTCCTAAGTTCTGTTCCAACTGGTCACACTTGTAACAGAAAATTAATTTTTAAAGACTCATCATTCCATGTTTATAGAAGTGATGTCTCTAATGAAAAGAAACGTGAACTATAACTGAAAAAATTTATTAGTTCTTCACATATCCCTTTTAGGAAAAGTGAAATAGGTGCTCACAAAGAACTGTCAAGATTTGTAGTAGTCTATTTTCAAAGAACCTGATACTAAAAGTACCAAAAATAGACGGAGCCAGAAATGTAAAACCTGCTGTTATGTCTTAACATCTGAAGATGATGCTGATTAATGGACATTGTACAAGAAAACATTTTATAAGAGAGAAGGGCGCTAAAAATCCCTATTTGGCACAGTGAAAGAAATTCGACAGAGGAAATTCAGTAATTCTTTACTGCGCTTAAAGGTGTAAAGCCTAAAGTGCCAAAAATGAAACTGCTGATACATGACTGGCAGTTTACACTTGCCAACTAGTTGTGCTCCGCCCACTCAGTTCACTTACCTATCAGATTCTCTCTTAATATTTCTCATAGCACAGAAAATATAAAAAGTCACTGAAACTTTAAATCATGGGTGAAGCTAAGCTACTGCCCAACCGAGGACTAAATATTTGCAACAGTTGGTACTTTTCAAAGTCTTAACAGTTGGATGTTCCCAGAACTGGGCCAACCTATACAATTGTCATTCTTGCATCCAACTTCCCTAGACTTTTCAATAAAACGAGGAGCAGCCTGCTCAAAGCATTCTAAAAATACAAGCAAAAGACAAATAAAAAAAAAATTAGTGCAAAATCATGACACGTCCATTAGTCCGTTTCACTCTCACACAAACATAATGTAATAAAAGCAAGATGGCTAGAAATTGTCAAAACGGTAAACTGTTTTCAAAGTTTAAAGAGAAAACATATGAAATAGTATCTACTGGTTTTTATACAGAGATATGAACTCATCGGAGGAAAAAACTAATCTGCTAGTTTGACTCATTAGAAGAACGTAAAACGAAAAGAGATTTTTAGTATCTAAGTTCCGGGGTACTGTTTATTGGGGGAAACCAAACTACCGGAGTGAGGCATAAAGGCACAGGGAGAATGGGCAATATGCAAAGTGTGAAGAAAGATACACGGTCAATAGGTGAAAAGCAATAGTTAAGAAACACAGAGGGAAATGTGAGTGTCCAGCCAGATAAGGAGCACAAGTTGAAGGCAGGACTATGGTGAGAAAGAGTCAGAAACAAGGAAGGAAAAAAAAAAAAA